TATCAAAATCCAAGATGGCTGCCTGTCGGCCATGTTGTTTATCCGATCAGTCTCAAAAGTTGCCCTGCACAGCTAAGGACCAAGGGGAACCTGCATATAAAATTTGAGAAAGATCCCTCTGGTACTTCTTAAGAAATACCGATAACAAGAATTGTTTACGGACGGACCACGGACCACGGACGCAGGGTGATTTGAATAGCCCAACATCAGATGATGGTGGGCTAAAAAGCAAGGAATAAAAACATTTCTGCATCAATGCCATTTTCTGGACAGGATCACAGGGGCCGGACACATGAGCAGTGGACTTGTGTAAGCATTGATACAAGAAGAACTATTGTCCAATATAGGGGAGATTTAAGTTACTGATTTTTATGAATAAGATTGTGGATAGCTGAAGCTGTGTTGTGTGTGGCAATAATCCAGCATTTCTCAATCAAATTTTACACAATTTTAATGTAAATCATGTCGTTGATTCCAAACCTAATTTTAAATGATTATGTACACTTTTAAGTTCTTTCAAATCAATATGGAAGCAGCAACATTTAACATTAAAACTGAGTAATATTTGACTGAGATATACCAAGTTGAATCATGGTAGCGTGTCATATGGTAATCAAGCCATTGATTTGCTTTATTTTAACTGTACAGCCCTTATACCTACACAAACCCAATTACTCATATGTTTGTTACTGTGGACAAAATCAATTAGATTTTTCACCTTTTTTTATCTCTGAATTTCTTTTGTTTCTTTAGTTCTTCATCCGTTTTCTTGATGAAGTCGTGGTACATGACTTTACCGTCACAAAGACCATCTTCAATCTTCACCAGCTGTAGAGATAGTCTGGGGCCCAGCTCGGTCATCCTGAAGCAAAACATCACTGATCTGTAATTGTTTGTTTCTTGCTGTCCAGTTCAACACAAGAATGGATTAGAAGACTCTTTCATGCCCAGGGGTTTAGGATTGGGAAATTCCATCTGAGGGGTTTTCAAATTGGATAAAACCTGAGGCTTTCCAAGAGTTTCCCACGAATTTGACAACCAGTGGATGGAGTATATTCCAGTATTGAGTATATGCTACATCCCTGGGCAGGAAAGAGTATTTTTCTTTTATTCCAATCACCAGAATGAGCTTAGATATAAGAAAAACTTTGCAATTTCCACATCACAGCATCAACATGTTCTTGATGTTAAGTCATTGTTATCCCATTGTGACATCACGATCATAGATCATAGGGGTGCAAGATAGAAATTTCTTACAACCCTTTCTTACCCTCAACAGTTCGGTCATACCCACATAGGAATGAGAACAAAATGATATCAGAACCTAAATGTATAAATATTATTAAAAGGGCCTGTATTTTTTATAACCCTGATTTCAGCAAGCTACATGCCAAATATTACGATCATACGCATCATGGATCTTGAGAAGATTTTTTTTTTTTAAAGTTGATGATGGATGATATAGTGTAACTTCACACTCACTTCATTCTTAAAACCATACAAAATGATACAATGTACATAGAAAGACGGACAGAATTTAATCTCAATCAACATAAACCAAATTGGTTGGCATTAAGTTATCTGCTGTTAAACTTCCCTTAAATAAAACACAGGTGGTAAAATGACTTGTACATACCAAGAGAAAAATTCACTATCTTGAATGAGCTGGAACATTTACAGAATTTTCTTTTTTAAATCATTCCTCAAATCTAAAAAAAATCCTCCTGTTTTGGATTTTTTTTATATTTTAAACATTGAAAAAAAATCCCTATATACAGTACACAGTTCCTCATGAAAATATGATTTTTTTTCCCTAAATTACATAAACATAAATATGATTGAACCATGAATGATTCCATGAATACGGGCCATTGGTCTCTTTGCCAGTAAGTTATCTAAATTATCCAATAAGCATGGTTAGATAGCCTAGTACCAGAGACTTGGTAAAATAAAACTAATCACTCCTTCTACAGTTCTCACCTGTTATATGTGAAGCAAATTAACCATGGCCAGTATTCATGACACTGTTCTCATGCTCAAACCCAGAATCTGTGCTCAAGCCAAATGTCTTGTTTTGGTTATAAATCAATGAAGATTCAACTCTTGACAAGATTATGAAGAATTTTAGGAAGATTTGAAGCCAAATACTATTTTAAATCTAAACACCTAGACATGACGTTTTTGAACGTGTCACATGACTTTACCAAGTTTGAAATAGATTGGTTTGAGAGAAAAATCAATGCTTGAGCATAAGAATGATTCCATGAATACGGGCCTAGTTGAGATGCATGAGTTAGCTTACCTGATAGCACTTTTGGTAGACTTGATGTTGCCTCGACTAGTTATGGTCTGGGGTAACACAACCTCATTTTCTGGCCCGTCCAGCTCTGCTTCACTCTCAGACAAGTTACCTCCCCTAAAAGTAGACAAACTTATCAGAAACTGGACATTGCCTTGTGAAAATTCTTCTTTCTCGTAGAACAAACTGTCTTATACATTTTTTTTGTGGTGTTATTATTAGCTCACAAGGCAGAGAAACATACTACTGTTTTTAAACTTTTTCAAAAATTATATTTTGTTTGTGAGACAATACAAAAGTGATAATTTGCTGAAATTTGGCAGTGTAATCTAGACTAGTTTTGCTGAATATGGCTAACAAGATTTTTTTTTTCTTAGCTGGATCCAACCTAAAATTGTCAAATGCTCAGCCAATCTAGACTAGGGGTTTAAAAGAAAAGTTAACTAAGGACTGATGGACAAAAGATGCAGAGCCACAGCACAAGTTTACTTGCCCTGGCTTTTGGCAAATGAGCTTAAAATGAGTGAAATATTACACTTTTCTACTCAAGAGTGAAAATAATATGTGACTTACACTAATTCAACTTGCTATACAGAAATAATTAGCAGATCACCATTCACCAACCAATATATTATTGCAACGGTATTACATCTAAGATTTGATATTTTACTTTCGAATGTTCAAACTTTAAGCCACATTAAAAGCTACTTCCCTGAAGTGGATTGCATATTTCAACTTCCGGCAAGTGTTTTATCCAAAACCATATCGCAATATTTTGATTACAGTATGGTACACAATAATTTTTGGGTGTCACGATACACCTACGGTATTTTTTCGAATTTTGTCAGAATGTGATTGACTCCCACTCACTGTTTTATATACTCGCTGATGTCCTCAAACTTGCTCATATCTGGTACGGTCGTCTTTATCAGCTTTTTAACTGCTCTGGTCATTCCAACTGGCACAACCTTTATATTACTGCGCAAGAAAAAGAGAAACCTTTGCAAATATGAGATGACACACATTTTTCCTACAGCCTCATTGGTTGGATCAGTCACATGGAGGTGGGTGATTTGTGATATTGGGTGATTTGTGATATTGACTGAGTGTTACAACAGTATATACAGCAATATTCATTTTATGATGTGTCATTTCAACTATAAAGTCACAATGCTCTCTGCCAAACACAGAACTTTCATCCAAACAATTTTCTTACGTTCCATCTTCTTTAATGATTTAAACATCATTTAGCTTCTTGTATAACAATTAAGGACATTTTATATTTGGGGTAATATCACTTTCTCAGGTCTATATAACCGTATATTCACCTCCACAAAAGTCCATATCAAATTGACAATTATTACATGTTTGCTTGCTTGCAAGATATTGATATCTGATATCTTTCATACCGTGACAGATATCAAAAGTGACAACTGTCATAGTATAAAGATATCTCTTTTATTAATGACCAATCAGGACAGTTCCTTTCATTCACTGCCATCAGCAAAATCAGAAAACAGCAGAATGCATTGAGAAGCTCAATCAAAATGTGTCTACATTGCCAATGAGACATCATTAGAAGATTACTCTATCTATTCCACCCCCTCATCCCTCCTCCTCCCCCAAGACCACCTCCACAATTTTTTGGAAATTGATCCTTTATTTTTTTAATATTTTCCCTATATTTGATACTTACTAGTGCCTGAATTCAATTAGCTGGGTTTCTGGATCGTAGCTCAGTAGTACACATCGTCTTATTGTATTCAAGTCAACCTGAATTAGTGAAATAGAATAATGAAATTTTTATTTTCAATACTTGCAAATAGGTCGCTAAAAGTCATGTCCTAAAGAAGAAATTGCGTAAGTATTTTTTGAAACCCAATCAGCTTTCAATGAGTCCCACATGTTAAAGTGCTGAACATCTGTAAAAGACAAAAAACGTCTACGCAAAATGAAAGTAAAATTACTATTTTCTTTCTTTATCTAAGGACTGAATATTGAGTTGGCTGCCAAGACTGGGAAAAGATACTTGCCAACCTCTAAAATTTCCAGCGGGGAGATATAGCAAGGATGATATGGGCAAAAGCGGTCCCTAAACTCATGATGGCTTCTAATAAACTACAAGAACAACCTATTGTTCCTTCGTCTGTTGTGATTGAATTTATTTGATGATGTTCTCACTTTTACTCAATCCCCTGCATACTTTCGGTTATCCAGACAAGGAACGAAGGACCAAATTATTCCACCATTAAGAAAACCACGGTGTTGGCTCTAACCTTCATGTGGGAGGAAACTGGAGTACCCATAGAAAACCCACATGATTGGAAAGTGACCCCATACTTTTTCAAGCATATCTTCATTTTCATGCAAAGATAAAGTAAAATTAAGACTGAATTAATACTGTTTTTTCTAATTGTACAACACGGAAATGTTTGCTGTGTTGTCTTGGTTGCTACAGAACCACGAAAATAACTACAACAAATTAAACTTGACATACTTTTCTAATGTTTGTTTATATGGGCTATTCACAAAGGTTTGTTCTACAAAACGATCTAAATAGCTTCAAACCACGAAGAAAAATGACCCACGGAAATATTTCAAGTTGTAAAATCACTTACCTTATTGACGTTTATGGAAGGAAACATATTCTGGAACATTGAAGATAGGAGTTTGGTATGCATCTCGTCGCCACCGAAGTTGTTCATCACTAACAGAGGATGATACTGAAACTGTTTCCGTTCCAGGTTTGGCTTCCGCAGAGACGAAATGACATCCTTACAAAGGCAGTAGTTGTGAATCTTAAATGTCATAGTCGGGCCCCTAGGGATCCGCACCACCCGCAGATTGGTTGCTATTTCTGTTTTGCTCAACATCAGGAAGTGTGTGACATTTAACACGCCAGCGATGTTCACAAAGTCTTTCATAGAGTTCTTCTTTCTTGCCTAAAAAATAAGATTATTGTCATTTTGTATGGACCAGTCACATAACTATTCCGTCTTTGCGTATTGCAGAGTTATCTTCTCTTGTGAGCAGGAATTGATTATTATGTCGTTGGTTTGTGTGAGAAAATTATGTTGTTTTCTCAAAAATTGATGACTTTACTCTCACAAACAAATGACGTAACAATCAATACCTGCTCACAAGAAAAGATAACTCTGCAATATGCAAAGATGGAATTATTGATAATAAAAACTAGAGGCTCAACATAGCATTTCATTTAACTCATTCACCCCTGAAGACACATTTGAACTTTTCCAAGTCAAAGGTTGGAATAGTCCATTGTGAAAATTCTGCGGTGAATGAGTTAAGGACCATAGCCAAAAACTGACATACTTTTTTTTCTGGCATGGCTATAGCTTTAATAAATCATTTCCGAATAGAAAAACCATATCTTGTGGTAGGTGAGAGATAGACATGAAATCATCAATAACAGTGTTTTGATTGTAATTGTAAAAATTCAGCTGGACTAGACCGGGATTTGAACCCTTGACTTCGCATTGTTATACTGTCACTCTAACCGAACTGAGATAATCTGGTCAATGGAAGTGACCTTGGCCAACTGTGCTACAGCCAGGAAATACATATCTGGTACTAGTTATTCCCGGCCTCCTCTGTCCCAGGTGTGACGATGCAATATATAAAAAAAATATCTTGTCATCAGAAGCTACGTTATCGCAGCTTATCTGGTACATGTTAATATAGCACCAACATCACTCTATCTTGTTTCTTTGATATCTATCAATATTTACCTTGAGATTTCTGGCTGTGAAAGGTTCCATCACATTGCGCATATCCTTTATAAGTTGTACGACATTTTTACCAACATGTCCCCTATTGAACACAAAAGAATGTGGAGCCTTTGTGTAAATATCTTCCTGGTATTGCAGCTGCTTATGTTTCATAGTTTTCTGTCGTTTGCTCTGTAAAACAGGAACCAATACATTGTATTTAAATAACAGTATTTCTCTCAAATCTGCCTACGCCAGAAACTGACAAAAGTTTTGTTGGATAACACTTCCCCACGTCTTAGTTGCACCAGGTGATCAATAGTTTATTTTAAGAATTACATTTTTTGCTTATAAATTCTGATTTGGGAATACATAAAAACAAATGTTACAAAATATTTAGATGTTGAGTAATTCTAGGCGTGTTCAAATACGAATTATTTGTAACAATTTTTAATTATTTATATCTTAAGAGACTTTTTCATTTCTCATTTTAATCATGCATGGAATAAAGATGCACAACATATATTAAAGACTTTGCCTGGTTTTTCCCCAATACTACAAGCCAACCCTAGCTTCACAAACTACACTATATATTGGTTGATGTTGTGAAACGTGACATCACTTCAATTACTCCAACAACGTTAGAGGTTAACACAATACTTGAGACAAGAACATTGCATCAGTCAGCATAATTATCAGGTCGGGGAAAACCATTAAGTTGCGTATAATACGCAAACTCGTCTATTATACGCCAATAGGGGTATGGATTTGTTACTAAATATAGCCAAAATCACTTTAATCTTAACTTTTTCAAAGTGTTTGTCCAAGTCGCATTTATTCAGTCATGAAACATAACATAAATGCAAAAATAAACATTATTTGCAAGTGGGAAAGTACCAAAAATAGATGCAATATTTCCGGTAAAGGTACATCAAGTTTCTAAGTAGCAAACGCTTTCAGTAAACATCTTTTAGCACAATACTATCTACGTATATACCTTGTCGTAAATTAATGCGATTTAAAATAATATCTTGCAAAAGTTACTGTAAAAGCGATTTGGGTAATTTAAAGTAACAAATCCATACTCCAACTGGCGTATAATAGGCGAGTTTGCGAATTATAATCAAGTTGGTGGTTTTTCCCAACCATTTCTGATTATACCGAATAAAAAAATATCCAACCGGGGGCCTCTTATGTTATAGGTCAATGAGTACACTTCAATGTGATATATGACATCACTTAATTGACATATTGGTCAGCAGAAGAATAGTTGCTATTTCAGAAAATCTTGGTGTTCAGATCATTATAAGATGTAAAACGAATTTGACGACAGGCAAAACCTATTAAAAAAAACTTCTTCTTTGGTAATTTTCACGGTTGACTGTGGTGCAGAAGTTTTATCTCCCTTAAATGACATTATCGACGATTCCTGAACTTTTGACGTTTGGGATTTTGTCAATTCTGAAATATGTATTCGACTCGAAACAAGGTGGGAGAAACTAAATATACCTTCATACCACATGTACGATGCCGTGGTTCGTTTTAGTGTAATCGGATATACAACTACAACACATGTCAATCCTGTTTCTAATTAGCCATTTGTACGTAACTAAATAGGCATACTAACATGAAAACATATATTTAAACCAGTCGACAATATCAGTTTTACTCGCCTTTTTTTGTTTACCCATTTTGCTTTTGGACAGTTGTTACGATTTTCGTCACCTCGCCTGTAACATGTGCTTCCGGCTGTGTACACATATTTTGATGACGTATGGTTTATGTGTACTGCAAGTCGGAAGTGACATAATGTTTCCCGCGAATACTCCAAATGGTTTCTGGTCCTCACTGTGGCGAGTATGCGATAATAATAATTTATTTCTATTTTCATTTCCATAAACATCCCAATCATACTTACTAATTTAATTATCAATAATTGTATAACATTTTAATTATAATATATGACGTTGAGTTGTGACGTCATTTCTGTAAATTTGTTCGCTCTGATTTCTTTGAAAAGGCATAGCCAAAGAAGAACGTAGCTTTTGTTCATGACTGATATTTACTGATTTAGAATGAGATTAATAAAATCTTTTACCTGTAACTGAGCGAGAAAGGATTATCTCAGTTGAGGGTTAAGATTCTTCAACAAAATCCCAACTGATGCGTAAGCCGAGGTCGGGATGTTACAGAATCTAAGCCCGAGACTGCGATAACCCGATCTCGCTCAGTTACAGGTAATTGATTTATTTTCTCACACCTTTTATTTCGAAAAGAACTATTCAATTTCAATTTCAATTCAAATTCCACGAAATGTCACGTAAAGGTACAGGACAATCGACGAGATATACAAATCTAGGATGGGGTATGACGTGGGATATCTCTGTCTGAGGTGCGAGAAAAAATAAGCTTTATAGTTGGCAAGTCGAGGAATACAATAAAATACAAGCTCTAATGAGATTTGAAGACCTACATTACAAATAAGACATTAGAAAAATTAGATATCTAATGTAGCACATGCGGAAGAAGGGAAATGAACCGGGATAGGGTTTGACATTTCCTACAATCGCCCGTTACTTGCTTCTTTTTCTGTTTGAGATGGATGTTTGAAGACGGATTTGGTAAAATGGTCTCATCTTCAGAAACCTCTCGTTCTTGCTCTTTCTCTTTGTTATGAGCATTTCGGGATACAATTGCGCTTGGTTGCTGCATGACTGGTCGCGGAGGTGTTATTACAGCTTTTGCAACACTTTTGGTGACATATCCGGATGTCCTTCTTTCCCATTTTTCACCTGTCGCTTAATGTCATGTAATTGCTTTCGCAGTGTTACCTTTGTCTGCTTGTTATGTCCAACTGTTCATGTTGTTGACTCAGGGTTTTCACTTACTACACTAACATCGTGAACACAGTTTTTGGCCGTCTGGAGAACATACTTCAACCTGTTTTTAAATCCTTCGATTCCACTAGAGTGCTCATCGTTAAATTTCTGGGCGATTCCTTCACTGTCTGATATTTTAATCCATGTTTTGTCAACTTGTAATTTGTTATTCCGAGGTAATTTCAATACTTCCGACACGGTTTTCTCTGATTTCCTGTCGTTTTCGTTGTAGTCATTCACGATTCAGATTGCACATCGACTTTAACACATAAAACTTAATGTTTTCTTTCTCAAGTTTTTGTTATCTTAGTATGCATATTTTGCATCTCTTCGTTGTGTTTCTTTGCGCTTTCCCTTGCGTTTTCTTTGTCCTTTTGTAGTGTTTTCAGTTGTGTACTTACGTTTTCAAGGTTATTAATCTGTGATTTTTAATTGATGGCAAATTTTCATTAAAAGACATTTTCTTTTGCTACAAGGATTGATGACCTTTGAAGTCAGTACAGCAGACTACGCATTACACTGCTATTAGAAAAAAATACACAGGAGATACTTGTCACAAATTGATGACAGTTTTGGTCGACAAATGTTCATCGAGTTTCATGCATGAATCATTTCATAAACCTATAGCTTATTATTGAAATGTAGAATGTAGTTTTTAACGGAAAGAAACACTGACATTTTTATTCGTCTATATTCTGTTTTATTTCACATTGTTTGCAGCATACACTGCACAGCACACCATAGAATACATATACAAGATACGATATATGCATTTCCATTTCCATACAATGTCATTGACTGATACTGGCAGTAAATTATGATATTATGCTGTTATCAGTTACAAGTTGTTCATAGCAAGATGTGCAAAAAACAATCTGGTATATCTTCAACAACATCAAAAATTTGAAACTCGAACTATGTCTTTTGATTAAAAAAAACAAGAGGCTCAATGGGCCTGCATCGCTCACCTGGTATAAATATCACACTTGTAACATTAAAAATGATCTAAAATAAAGCTACAGGCAAATTAAGTCATTATGTTGAACAAATTTTATAGCCTTTCATTTCAGGATGCAACTTGCAAAGTATCAACATCCTGGGACCCATGGTTATTCAGAAGAGGTCGTTTACTTTAACAAACATAGTAGTCCTTGATACCAGCATGCTACTGACTAAATATCAACATCCTGAGCCTTTTGGTTATTCAAGTTGTTTAAATTTTTGAACATATTTGCTCCTTGTGACCTTGAATATGATTCAAGGTCATACATTTGAACAAACTTAATAGCCCTTGATCCTAGTATGCTACTGACTAAATATCATCACCCTGGGCATTTTGGTTATTAGCTCACCAGCCCAAAGGGCATCGCTCAACTGTTATTAATCTAACACTTGTAATCTTAAGATTTCATAAGAAACTATTAAAAGATTTAAACATATGACGCCTCTGACCTTGTTGTCGAACAAGGACATTAGGTTGAAAGTGGATCAAGGTCATTCATTTGAACAAACTTGATAGCCCTTTACCCCAGCATGCTACTGGCCATATATCATCACCCTGGGCATTTTGGTTATTGAAAAGAAGTTGTTTGAATTTTTTAACATATTTGACCCCTGTGACCTTGAATATGGGTGAAGATCATTTATTTGAACAAACTTTGTAGCCCTTTATCTAAGCATGCTACTGGCCAAATGTCATTACCTTGGGCATTTTGGTTATTGAGAAGAAGTTGTTTAAAGTTTTTAACATATTTGACCCCTGTGACCTTAAATATGGGTGAAGGTCATTCATCTGAACAAACTTTGTAGCCCTTCATCTCAGCATGCTACTGGCCAAATATCATCACCCTGTGCATTTTGGTTATTCAGAAGAAGTTGTTTAATGTTTTTCACATATTTGACCCCTGTGACCTTGAATATANATACGATGTATGCATTTCCATGCAATGTCATGGATACTGGCAGTAAATTATGATATTATGCTGTCATCAATAGTGACCTACTCAGCACATAAATGAACACCACAGTGACAAAATGGCATTATTATAACAACAGTGACCTCTGTCACTCTGACAGAATGTTATGGCCCCAAAGTTTCTTATTCTTAAACTCATTCACCCCTGAAATTTCATAATGAACTATTCCTACCTTTGAATTGGAAGAGTTCAAATGTGTCTTCAGGGGTGTATGAGTTAACCCTGAATTTAATTCAGTCCATCTATATATAACAAGTTGTTTATAGCAAGATGTGCAAAAAACATTAATCTGGTATATCTTCAACAACATCAAAAATTTGAAACTCAAATTATGTCTTTTGATTAAAATAATTAATAGAAATCAAAAATATTCATAAATTGTCAGATATTTCTGAGAATCGTATTTTTGAAAATTTGTCTATAAATCTTGCTAATCAGGCCTTGCACAGCAGGTTTAGGTTGTAAAGGACAGGTTTCACTGTAGTACATTATACGATGCGATGTCAACGTTATTAACATCCTCGAAATTCTAGGGGTTACCTCAATTCCATTTCCTCACCCCCGGAATAATGTTACGACAAAATCGAAGGCATGCCGATAAAACGAAACTGCCCAATCACTTGGCTTATTCATGTCTTTCAAAGATTACAAAGTGAAAACAGAGGTCAAAGCCGGTCAATTTTACTGTTAAACTGCAATAAGATTCTTTTGATCTACATGTACATCAACGGATCAAACTACTTGTATCAGCCACAAGATGTACGGTTCGAGCTTTCGATTTTGTCATAACAAGAGTGTAACCCCTGGAATTCTAAGGATGTGTAGTTAACAAAATTACTATAATACATGTATGCATATGCAATTATCAAAAGGGATACAACAAATACTCAAGTAAAAAAGGAAAGGTCAATCTATGACCTTTGCCAGTAACTATAGTAACCATGAACACAATTCGCCTGTAAGAACTCCTGTTCGGCATACAAATTTGTAAGGAAATATATGTTAAACAATGTACAGGTCTTCCAGGCGTATAGCTGCCAATACGCTGGTACGCAGGTGAATCCACCGAATTTTCAAACAGAAAAACAAAAACACAGCTTGTTGCACCGTTGGTCCCCTACCAAGGCCCCTGCCCTGGACAGGCTCCTAAATGAATCCACTCCAAGCAAGAGCTAGCTACACTCCTGTATACAATATAGCAAAGGTTAAGAGAAAGTGCTATTCAGAGTGTTGATATAATGGAAACTGCAGACAAGATATTAAACACTTTAATCCAGATATCTACTTACAAATTAGCATGTTGTATAAATCTTTGTGACCAAAAAAGGTCAGGAAAGGGTGACTAGATAAAAATCCTTGAAGGGAAAATGTCGCTATCTGAGAAGAAATGTTTTATGTAAAACAATGGAAAACGAAACGGAGCTTTGTGTTATGTAACATAATGGGAAAATGTCCCTACCACAGTAACATTTTAGGTTATTTATCAGAAATGTATCCATATCTGAGCTATGTTTTATGTTATATAACGGAGAAATGAAGTCATCAGCCTTTGTATGGAGAAATATAGTTATCAGACATTTATTTTATGTAATGGAGAAATGTCACTATCAGACCTATGTTTGGGATATGTAGGGGGCACAGTGGTGGAGTGTTCATCTGCGATCACTGCCCCCACCCACCCACACACACACACAACAGAGTCACAGGTTCGAAGCCTACGTGGGGCAGCCGTCATGTACTGGCCACAGGTTGTTGTTTTTTCTCCGGGTACCCCAGCTTTCTTCCACCACCAAAACCTGACACGTCCTTTAATCGCAATGAAGCAATGTCGCCATCAGAGCTATGTTTTATGCAATACAAGAAATGTATCAGAGACATGTTTAATATAATGCAAGAGAGATAAGGGAGATTACTCCAAGTCCAAATACCCGAATGAAATTTAAAGTAAATGAAGGACTATGACACTAAGTTGTAATTGTCAACATATACTAATGATATATTATAGGGTACATGATTTAAAGCCAAGAATCAATTAAGTATATTTTACGGTATCAAATCATATCACAGACTTACAAATACATATCACATGTTCATTAATAAAGAGAATTGAATAACACTTTTATGCACCAAAACACCGGCGAACAGCATTGATATAACAACACCTACAATGAAGAAAATGCATTATGGCACTTGTACCTTGGTTACTGTTGCTATGGTGGAGTGTCTATAAATCTATACGTTCATCCTCGAAAGTCCAAGGGTTACGTTTACTTATGTACTCCACACTGCTGGAATATGTCCTGACAAAATTGAAGGCACACAGTTTAGATATTAAATTAGTTTCAGGTGATAAAAACTGACCAATGGCTAGGCTTTGAAAGTTACAGAGGAGCAACAATGCCAGTCAGTTTCACTGTTACATTGCCACATGCTGTAGATCGACTATTTGCACCATCCACAAGATGGCACCTACAGAGTCTTCGTTTTCGTCATGACATGTTCCAGGCGTGCAGAGAATATAAGTGAGCGAAACCCCTGGAAAGCTCAGGATGCTTACAACAGAGATTTACACACAAACAATGAATAATAAAGGACCAGTGCACAAATTACTGGAATCACAACCTAAATAGCGCTCATCTGTATTATAAGCTTAAACAGCTTGACATTCGTCTTGATCATATATGTCCAATAGCGCTCATCTGTGTCATAAGCTTAAACAGCTCGACATTCGTCTTGATCATATGTGTCCAATAGCACTCATCTGTGTCATAAGCTTCAACAACTCAACATTCATCTCGATCATATATATATGTCCCAAGCTAAAATAAACTAACCAACTACCAAATAACAAATTTATCCAGAAATAAGCCCATGTCTGGTAATAAGCCCACCCACTTCTACTACAGTTCTGTAGAAATGCATTGTCCTTTTATAAGCCCTCTCCTTTAGGCTTACTTTTTGACATAAAATATTGTACGAGATTTCTTTGATTTTGAATGACTAAAGATATGTAGGAAATAAGGCATAAAAAGTGAAAAATAAAATTACACAAAAAAATTACGATTTAAAGTTTGATCATCAACTATAGTGACTATGGTCTAACTACAGTACAATCAAACTCTCTTTAGTAATTTGACATTGTATTGCGCATGTGTAAAGAAACTAGAAGCTATGGTGCACATATATGGCCACTATTGTACAACCTACGGATTTCTTCAGTTGGACTAGCGGTTGTCTGCACACGCGTGACTATTTGAAAGCAATGCAGTGATTGATTGTTGTTTACCAGCATGTGTGAGCACATTAAGTGTACCAGCCCGACTTTGGTAAATGGCTGATGATTGAAAATCCCCTGAAGTATTGAAAATGTGCATATTTATGGTAGGAATGATAATTTGTTTTTCTTGCAAATTCCAATATCAACTCACATTATGTGATAACCTGAGTGTGCAAATTCCGATATCAACTCACATTATGTGATAACCTGAGTGCTAAATTTCATCCCTGGTTGTGGTGTGTATGTCTTACAGTTTAGTTAGTGTATCTTCCCAGCCCCTAGTGATCCTGTATGGAAACAAATATGCCCGACGACAGAATCCTAAATATATATATATATATATACTGTATTTATTTAAGCATTGAACTGCTTTCAGTTGGCATTCATAGGCAATATGAATGCCAACTGGACAAAGGCAAATTCAATTCACCCTAACCCTAATAGAACAGGCATCTCCCGGGGATGGTCAGTAGTATCCAACGAAACAATTATGACGTCATAGTAATGATGACGTCAACAATCGGTCCATGGCATTCATAACCTATAATATATGAATGCCAACTGAATTTGGTAGGGTTATATAGTGGCAATGCCGTTCGATGGTTAATATGCTGCAATAAACCCATGCCTGGTAATAAGCCCACCCATACCTATTGAAGTTCAGTTATAATGCCAACAAATTTTATTTCATTGACCTGTAATAATGTGCTTATTGCATGACAAACACGGTAAGGGTAAGTACGGGATACAGTAAGAGGAGCTAACAACTTGAATTCAATATGGCACAGCATTCGTAATGTTTGGCAAGAAATTTACAAGCACTGATAATGTACTATATACTATTACAGCACATTGGGAAGATTTTTTATTCTGGCATGACTTACATTTTGATATACAAGGACTTTTACAAGGTACTGAAAATATTTATAAAGATGAAATAAACAAAATGCAATCAAGTGGTCCAAGGGTAAAAAAATCAGCAGGGCTAGACTGGGATTCGAACCCTGCACTTCAGATCACTCATATTATCACTCTTACCGACTTGGCTACCAGGTTAACGAAAGAGTCCTGGCCCCAAATGGGCTACAACTACAAAGCAAAATTAAGGGTCAATGAACGCACCAAAAACCACTGTGCAGTGACTGTGGGACAAGGATCCTTAATAAATCTAATTGTAGCACTCTTATGTATAAATATCTTTTTTAATATCGTGACATGAGAAAGTATAGAAAGTAAATACACCTCTTCAGCTAATGTTTTACATCAAGCAGGTAGACAACATAAAAATATGCACCACACAGCCTTTTTTTGTTTTACAAAAAGTAACCATTGTTTACAGAGATATAGCCCTGAATATGTAAATTTTACATGTGATAATTTCATCAACTTGCAATACATGACATAAAACAACCGAATTACATAAACAGCATTTAAAAAAAACACCATGATATAAACCAAAATGTGATATAAAGTGGCACCCACTTAAGTAGTAGTGTAGTATTCTATTGGTAATTTTATATAAGAAGCCAAAGAAAAAACCATGATTAAACAAGAATTAACTCATTCACCCCAAAAGTCACATTTGAACCTTACCAAATCAAAGACTGGGCAAGTCCAATTTAAAAATGTAGGGGTGAATGAGTTAAGAAAATACAATTCAATCTGGTACACCTTAAAATTGCTTTGTTTTGACACACATTTTAGATTATTGTGACAAACATTTGAGAACTTTTTTATAGTGAAAACACTTAACATGACAATAGATATGTTCGACAAGAGTCTGCTTGACAAAGATCACTGTATCAGCTGCCGGCCGGACACTGAATTTTGAGAATCTCAATTGGAATGGTGTCTTCGTAATGGAATATCTTCTTCTTGGGAGAATCAACTATTTCATAAGTGAGTCCTTCGTTTGCTGTGTGAATAGAAAAAAAAAGATGAATAAAGTTTCAGTGATTTTCAAGAACGAGGGATCATGTACATTCTCCCCTAAATCTTGAAATTCTCCATTTATAACACTTCAAATGCCCCCCCTCCCCCCCCCCCCCCCCCCTCCATTCCTTTATCAAAACGAAAGAAACACTGAAACTCATTGTATTACATACCCTATATCTATCATTTTGAAGTCAAGGAAGGCAATTTAACAGAGACTCCATCATATTTAAATCAGGGGATTTCAGAAACACACAAATTTCTTTTAAACAGTTCCAGTTTTAAAACCCAGAGCTCAACATCCAAACTCGATGAGTAATCAGGCTTTGTTTCTATAACTATAGACTTTATATCACTTATATAATAGACAAATTTTAGACTGAATGTTTACAGGGTAAGGATTTTCTATGTTATGACACATTGACTAAAGTCCTCAGGGGTGGGGTTTGTTTGACGCTAGAGTCAATCCTCTCAGCATAGTTATGATTTTCTCTTCATGCCCAGCAATTGTTTTATAGTTATGGGTTGGGGATCTTAAAAAGTTTTCATATGTTGACAAAGGCACCAAGGTCCCTGTGGAAAGAGGGGGGAGAGGCTTGACTCCTGGTCAGTCCTGGTAACAAGTCTGCTATGTGTGTATGGTTTTAAATAGTAAGCATCTCAATAATTTTAAACCATACAGATTTGCACCCAAATTTCCTCTATTAGGGCCCAAGGAATCAAATGAGGTATGGTTACATTCCATGCAGCCATTTAGAAGGAGTAGGATTTTTGCTTTTAAACAAATGTTATTTTCTATATGGGAACTGCTCTTCTGCTTCCAGAGAAGAGGTTTCCAACCTTTCATTATTACAAAACTGAAACCCAAGGATACTCCAGACCAAGTTCGGTCAGATGTTGCACCATGGCATAAGTCATAAGGCATGACATGTCCTTCCCAGCCAGATGAACCAACAAAAATGTAAAATTTCAACCAATAAAATCACAATGCAGACATCTTAAGAATCCTACCTAATGGTAAATAAGCCCTACCTAATACGATGAGGAAGTGGTCGCGGGTGTCCTCATTTCTGATCGTAGATGCTATAAAGGCAGTGGCTCTTTGGCCATTCTCCATCTCCAGGGACAACAGTTTCCGCAACACAGACACCAGGGCAGGCATGATGGACTTGTCAAACACAACATCTGTCGGCAAATACGACAAGTAGAGCATCAAATGGACAAATTATGAAGGGGTGTTACCATTTCCAAGTTTGAATATGTTGGGTTTTTTTGGCATCACAAAAACATTTCATCATCAGAATGATGAAAGGATAGTGGATTTAACTTTTTGGCAAATTTACTTTTTCATTTACCTCATCAATGTGAAAAAATGTGCATAGGAACACATTAGCAGGACATACAATACATTTTACAGCATTATTGCTCAATGTCAAATATTTCCTCACTGAATAGTTTCAAACACTTTTCATCATAATACATGTATGTAACTTTCTAATTTGTCATCAATTCTTGTGTACCTTTAAAATGTGTCAACAATTCTTGTGTACCTGGCAAATGTCCTTTATTTTTTTATTTTTTATATGTTTGGTATCATTCCCAAAGTTTTCGTATGGTTGCCAAACTGTACAGATTAATCAGCTTTTCGATTATGGAATTGATTAATTATTTCAATTTAATTTAAGATAATTTTCATAAATCGGCCAAAACCTATGTGGTGTGTGCACTTGAGGTTTACCTGCAGCAAGTATGATGTCAGGAGCTAGATCCCACAGAATTCTGTCATCGGAAGTTTCCCAATCATATTTGAGAAGTCGGATTCTCTCGTCTTGGTCGAAGAAGTACATTCCAGGAAGACATTCGTCCATTACCCAATTCTGAGACTCAACATGAAAATCGTTCTGATCAGAAAATGTGTCCTCGCTGTTTTCCTCGTCGTATGACGATGAAGCTGTGGAAGTATAGCTGATCTCCATAATATCTGAACACATGCTCACGGTACAGGGATTGGAGGGCTCAGCGTTTACACTCAATTGGCGGCGGATTGATTTCATCATACGTCCGTCCTTTTTGTCTGTGCACTCTTTAGATGTGGAGGGGAAGATATCGCTGGGCGTGTAGGTTGGCTGTGACAGATACGTTTGTTTAGCAAAGTTGGTCTCAATGTTCTTCATAAGAAGGTAGAGCACCTGGTGGTGACAGTCAGTAAACGTGTACGACTTCATCTGGCACTTCCTGCACACAGTGATCCCGGTAAGTCCCAGTCCACTGCCCAACTCCAACACACGCCTACACACAGACAGAACAAAAAATTATAACACATATACGTAACAAACAACAGAAACTTAGACTGCATTCGTTTATTGCAATCTAAACAGTTGAACCGGTTAGACCAGAGTCGTTCGTTTATGAAATAAGGTTGGACCCACTTAATTTGATGCTGCTTGCAAGGCCTGCATAAACATTTGCAGGTCTGGCAGTATTTATACTCGAAAATGTAACATTTAACAAGAGGCCCAATGGGCCTGCATCGCTCACCTGGTATNCGCCAGGTGAGCTAAAAACAGACAAACTGGTTAAACCGGATACACTCACATTCCTGTGTTGTTATACACTTACTTTAACAGAAATTTAGCTGTTTCACTTCATGTACTTAATGTTTCTGGTTTGGTTTTATCGGGTTTAACGTCCTATCAACAGCTGAGGTCATTAAGGACATGCCTCACTGTGTGGTGTGTAACCGTGCATGTGTGAATGTGTGCCGGAGACAGGGTATGTTGCTGTACTTGCCTCCTTGTGATAGCGCGGATCTGATGCCGACTCTATAGTGCTATCTCACTGAAATACAATGCCGAAGGCACCCAGCACAGCATTCTGCCCAGTCACATTATACTGACAACGGGCAGGGTGAACCAGTTGTTGTCATTACCCTAAATGCTGAATATTAAGCAGGGAATAACAACTACCATTTTCAAGGACTTTGGTATGCCACGTCCTGGTGACAGAACCCATTGTCTTCCTCACCTGGGCGAACACTCAACAATAAAGCCAAAAGTGAGGTATTGCCAAGTAAGACGTTAGGAAATGAAAGAATGTAGAAGTAGAGAGAAAGATTAAGATCAGAAGTGTTGCAAAGGATGCAGCAGATTAATTTTGTTCGCTTTTGAGTCCCCTAGTAGAGGGCACAAAAGCAAATCCCATATTCTGAAGGGAGTTCTCACATTAGTAGCCTCTTACGATACATGCATTGGGTAACAGCAGGTGTATTCTTTTCTCGATCCCCGACCTGCAGGGGTGACTTACTGTATCACAAATCTACCTATACTTATTTGCTTTCTTAACTACGGTATTCATTCTTTTAGGCTGTGTCTCCTTAAGCACTCATCTTCATTTTTCCCAAAGCTATTGCAAAGATGTGAAACACCAAAAGCAAAAAAAAGAAAAAACTTACTTGTTTTCTAAGAACTTGCTATTTTCGGAGCACCATTCTGACAGATGTAAGGCTGCCTGTGATGAGAAAAAATATAAATACATATAAACAATGGATAAACTAGAACACTGACAGGTCAGTAAGGGCCCCGTCTTGTGGCAATATATCCCCCATAATTATCAAAAAGCAATCTGCCCATATAGCTGAGCTTGACGTTTGACATTTGGACTTCAAAAAGAATCACAAGGAAGCAAAATATACATTTTACATAACTATGATGTGAGTCTTGTTTCCTTCCACCTCCATATTTGCTGGGCTAACAGAAATGTAAATACCGGTGTATCATACTCATTTGTTAGCTTTGATTTGTTTTATTTCACCTTATATACCTCCTCCATCAAGAGCTAGGGTCAAAGTCAGAGATCCACTTTGTCTTTGACCTTTGGACCCAAATGACCTTGACCATTAACCCAGTGACCCTGCAGATCTGTGGTCAGTTGACTTATTCTTTAATTCCGACCAACTTTGCTTCTTGATATCATAACAAAATGTTCATCAGTGAAAAATACAAAACTTGACCTTGACCCTTTGGACCCGTAACCTGGACCAAAGGTCAGTTGACTCTGTGTTAATTTCTGAACAACATTGCTCCATAATGTCATAACAAAATGTTCATCAGGGAAAAGGTACAAAATTTAACCTTGACCTTTGACCCAATGACCTTGAACTTTGGTCAGTTGAATCCTTGTTTAATTCTGATCAACTTTGCTTCATAATGTCATAACAAAATGTTCATCAGTAAAAAGATGTAAAATTTGACCTTGTCCTTTGACCCTAATGACCTTGACCTTTGACCTCGACTTAAATCCGAACAACTTTGCTTCATAATGTCATAGCAAAATGTTCATCAGTGAAAAGATGTAAAATTTGACCTTGACCTTTGACCCTAATGACCTTGACCTTTGACCTCGACTTTTTACCTCCGTGTGTCTCTTTGTTTAAATCCGAACAACTTTGCTTCATAATGTCATAGCAAAATGTTCATCAGTGAAAAGATGTAAAATTTGACCTTGACCTTTGAACCTAATGACCTTGACCTTTGACCTCGACTTTTTACCTCAATGTGTATTTTTGTGAACTGAACATCTTGACCAAGTTTCATGTACATCAGTCAATAAATACCAAAGTTATCAGCCAGGAACAGAATTTGTGGATGGACAGACAGACAGACAGACAGACAAACAGACAGAGTGATTACTATAGGGCACCCGTATCTCTGATACGGGGCCCTAATTATTGACTCCATTTATCAATGTTATTGATCACAATATTATTAATGAAGAAAAATTATAGATTATAATATTACCTATGTAACTTATTTCTGCACTGAAACATGTACTCAGTATTTATCTTGTAGACAAGCCCATGGCTGGTAATAAGCCCACCCAATTCTGTTGCAATTTTGTAAAAAATGTCACTGTCCTATAATTACCCGATCCCCTTATTACGGGGAAACCATTCCATTTTCTATTTTGTTACATTTTTTAAAGTAACACAACACAAAACTTTTGCTGCATGGTAAAAGTGTGGATATTAGTGGTGCGATCTTTGACTCCGTGTTATAATGTCAAGCTTGATAACAAGGCTGAGGGTCAATTTGAATGGGTTACTCAACGCAATTTTGCCGCTTGCTGCTATTATCTGGTAAGATGTCAAAACAAAAATTGTTTACAGTAGTTATGTAAAAAAAAATTACCTGTATTTTGCAAAGGTGTGCCAAACAACAAACATGAAATAACATTTGTTTGCATTAAAATATAGTATTCGATAATGTTAATAAATTTGATTGGTTTGGTTTGTTTGTGTGTTAAGTCCTATTAACATCTATACGGTCAATTAAGGACGTGCCAGGTTTTGGTGTCGGAGGAAAGCCAGAGTTCCCGGAGAAAAACCACTGACCTACGGCCAGTACGTGGCGACTGCCCCATGCAGGCATTAAACCCGCGACCCAATGGTGGAGGGCTAGTGGTAGCAGAATGTAAGACACCTTAACCACTTGGCCACCGCGGCCCCTAAAGGACTATGTATGGTTTGGGCCTGTTTTGGCCCCCAAATGCATCAATATTCAAAACCTTTAAATGAACTTTGAAATGACTGTTCCTTTAATTTCGAATACTTCCAAAATAACATAATGAAACTATTTATTTATATTTCTAATTATTGTTGCCATGGTAACATGTTCAACATAAATTAGAAAAATTTGAATATTTAGTGAATATTAGGATATTTTGCATAATTTTTCTCCTAGAAACTATAGAGGGCATGTTTGAACAAACTTAATATCAAAGGATAATGTGTAGGCACCTGTAATACATCTTTAGGAGAAATATAAATTTTGTTCAAGAGTGCGCTCTATGGTAGCAAAGAGAAAAACTAGGTGAAAACCTGTCAAAATTGACTGAATAATCAAATTTCAATAATTTATGCAAATATGACCTGGTTACCATGGCAGCCAAAATTGAAAACACAAATAAATATTTACATAATAGGACTGGGGAAGCATTCAAAATTAAAGAAACATTCGTTTGGAAGTTACATTGCAGATTTATAATTTTGATGGATTTGGGGGTCAAAAAAGCCCCAAACTATACATAGTCCTTTCAAAGAGTTCCTGTTGCAGATTACCTGCCAAGTACTTAGTCCTGTGGTCCCCTGGGAAATAAGATGTACTGACTCCTGTAGACTGACGGTATTCCCACAGGGCTGAAAAGTTACAAAGAATTCATCAAATATTGTATCCAACAAAAGCGACAATTTACATAATCTTTAATTATATCCTCTTGAATACCATATATTTTTCATAAGTATGTCAGAATACTTCTAAACATTTTCTTCGGGTTGGTAAGTATGGATTATGAGAAGTTCTTTTTACACAACCGATAAGATTTTCTATGTGATGTTTCGATGACTAGTACGATATGTACACGTTTGTAAGCTTACAGTGTAGCCGAATCGACTAGCTTTTGTGGACAACTCGTACACATTTTACACCTTTGTGTGCATACGCTTCACTGGTCATTTGTCTGATGAACAAGTCATCGAAACGTCACATAGAAAATCTCATTGGTTGTGTAAAAAGAACTTCTCATAATGTCAGAATACTGTTTCACAGGTGCAAATTTCGGCATATGCAATTTAACATTACAAGAAAACCATTAAATTTTCAATTCATTTCGTGTTCAAAGTTTGATGACTAAATTATTAATGCTTAAAAATGTGGGAATAAGTTGTTTAATATGTAATGCGATATTCTAATGACTTCATGCTTTACAATAAGGCTATCCTCCATTCTGAATGCTTACAAGAATAATATCAACTGTGTATATGTAGTACCAGATTGTATAAAATCCAAAGTATATGAAGTGAAGTTGTACCAAAACTTCCACTTATTCTAATCAAAAAATTTCTTCGTCTGCATCTGACCAGAAAATTTATCGCTAAAAAAATGTTACAATAAACACACCTACAAACAGAGAGAACATCTAGTGTAAAACCTACATGCTGTATTTAAACTTGGTGGTTAGTCTTCATTAACCTTAACTCAAACAAACATTGAATAAAAATAAGCCCAGTACCAACTATAACATGGTCTGTATATTTAATACCTATTTACATACCAGAGTGTAGGTTTTGTAACATAGCGTATCGTCCTCTTCCTCCTTCTGTTGAAGCAGATCACCATATGTTTCATAGATTTCATCACAGATATCAGCATCAATATCTTCAAGCTGAATAAAAGGAGACATTTTTTTTCTAATTAGACAGCCTTTATTAAGGGAATGTGTACCCATTATAACTATGAAGGCTAACAGTACAATATCTTTCTGAAAATCAAACTAATTTAACCTAATAAATCCCCAATCCCCTAAAAGTCCCTCCCTTTCATTCTTTTCTTGTTCTACATGAAAGTGTTTAATCTTCCATCGTCATTCACAGGCTTACTTGAAAAAGTATTTATAATGGCTTTCTTGAGGAATTTTGAAAAGTTCTACATTCAAATTTTTCCACTTTGCTGAGCGGCAAGGCACTTACTAGGTCAAATGCAGTACATATGAGTTATAATCTACAATATCTTGTGTCTGACTAAAATCAACCATGATACAAAGTACTAAACAGTTAATGGTCATTATGATAATGGGATTTTCTGTCTATGTATGGGGTTTATATAATTCGGCTCCTTTTGATTACGATATAGAAATTCTTCTTTTTATTTTATACCAAAACAAGAGGCCCAATGGGCCTGCATCGCTCACCTGGTATAAATATCACACTTGTAACCTTAAAAGTGATCTAAAATAAAGCTACAGGCAAAATAAAATATCAGTATTTATGATTAAAATTCATTCAAAAGAACCTGTTATTTTTTTTTTAAACATTTCACCCCTGTGATTGAAAATCGAACACAGTCATTATGTTGAACAAATTTAATAGCCTTTCATCTCAGGATGCAACTTGCAAAGTATCAACATCCTGGGACCCATGGTTATTCAGAAGAGGTCGTTTAAAGATTTTAAACAAATTTGACCCCTGTGACCTTGAATATAAGTCAAAGTCATTCACTTTAACAAACATAGTAGTCCTTGATCCCAGCATGCTACTGACTAAATATCAACATCCTAAGCCTTTTGGTTATTCAGAACAAGTTGTTT